CCTCGCCGCGCCGGCAGGGGGCGCGCGCGGCCGCCGCCTCGGCTTCCGCCTCCGGGCCACGGGGCGCGGGCGCCGCTCTCGGGCGGCCCAGCTCCTCCGCGCGGGAAAGGCGGCGGTCCGCGCTCGCGCCCCGGGTGCCTCCCAGCGCGAGAGGGGCCTTCCGGGCTGCGCGCGCCCCGTTTCGGGCCGGGGCAGCGCGCTCCCGGGCAAGCGCCTCCGGCTCGCTCCCGCGCAGGTGGCCCGGAGGGGGGCGCCCCCCCCCGCTGCAAGCGGCTGCTCGCTGGAGGCCCCCGTCCGGGCCGCGGGGCGCGACCCACCGGTCAGCGCGGGAGGAGCGCGCCTGCGATGCCCCCCGAGCGCCGAGCGGGGCTCCCGGCGGGGTGCGGCGCTCGCCTTCCCCGGGCTCCCTCGGCGGTTCCGGCCGCTGGATGCCGCTCCCCAGGGGCGTCCCGCAGGGGCCGGGCAGGGCCGGTGCGCGGCTCCTTGCGCCGGGGCAGCGCGGGGGTGCGTGGCCCGCGGACGCCGCGCCGGCTTTCCGGCTCGCAGGAGCGCGGGCCGCCTCCCTCCGCTCCCGCGGCTTCCCCGAGGGCCTCAGGGCCGCTGCGGGAAAGCGCTTGCCCTCCAGCGGCGGGCGGGGCTGGGCGTGGGCGAGCGGCCGTGGGCCTCGGGCCCCCGGGGACGCCTCTCCTGCCGCGCCCACCCCGCGCACGCGTGCAGGGGGCGTCCTCCGCAGCACGGACGCCCGGGCCGGGCCGGGCCGGGCCGGGCCGCAGCGCGGGGCCCGGTGTTGGCTCACCCGGAATCGGCTCGGGACGGAGCCGCTTCGGGAAGGACCCTCCGCTGGTGCGGGGAGGGAGGGACTGCGCCGCGTGGGTGGCCACAGGGATCCGCAGCCCCGAGCCCTGGCTCCTCCTGCCGGCACGGCCGGGATGAGCCGGAAGCCCGAGACGGGGGCCTTGTCGGCCGGGGAAAGGCCGCCGGAGCAGCTTGGCCAGCGGGGTAGCGCCTCCCCCTTGGGCCGAGTGGGGAAGGCCGGTCAGGAGACCGCTGGGGGGCGCTGGAGAGGATGCTGTGCAGGCAGTGTGCAAGGGGGCGCCCTCTTGTCCGTGGGCTGCTGCCCTGAGGTCTGGCAGTGGCCTGGGGGCTGGACCTGGACACCCAGGGGCAAAGCCGCGGGTGGGCGCCCCCTGCCACAGAAAGCGGGAGGGGTGGCTGTGCTCTGCTCCCCCAAGGACCCTCCCTCCTCCCCGTGTGACCCTGGACCGCCTCTGCTGGTCTCTGTTTTGGGACACTGGGGGCAGGGCTGCCTCAAACGGGGGGCTCTTTCCCACACGTGCTGTGGACTTGCCTTTGGCCTGGGCCTCTGGGATCTTGACTGCAGCAGTCCTGGCCCTGGATCTTGACTCGTATGGATACTGGCCTTATTGCAAGCCAGCTGTCAGGTCAGGAACGTGACCTTTGCTGGCCCCCTCCACTGCGAGGGGAGCCAAAGCAGCCGAGCCCCAGGGGCTCGCCTCCCAGAGGCCCGAGGGATGGGGCGGCCCACCCAGGATCGCCCAGCCACAGGACCGGCTTCGGTTGGGTGCCCTGCTCCCCACAAGCACACAGAGAGCGGCTCTTTTCAAAAATATGCTTTAATCACATCGTATTGGGCAGGTACAGTCTACAAACTCTAAAAAGTTGCTGGGTTGACAAAACGGGGTAGTGCCGCACAGCGCCAAGACCCGTCCGGCGAACAAGTTGTGCAACGGCTGTCAGAAGGGACAAGGCGCCAGGAAAGGGATCTGAGCGCGGCAGGAGGCAGCCCTGGCACTCCCAAGGACGGATGGTGGGTGGGAGGCAGCCGGAGGACGGACGCTGCTTGAGGAAGGACATCGAACTCAAACACGGCCCTGCCGCTCAGAGGGAGCCACGGCTGCCAGTGCCCAGTGCAGGCAGTGGGTAAGACTGGCCAGGAGTCCCGGAGCCAGGGCGGGCCCTGTTCTTGGACGGACGGCCCAAGGACGGACGGGTAGCTTCCTCTCACTGCTGAGAGCTGCCTGTACCAATGCACCAGGGCAGGAATGAATGGCCCCAGCCCCGGGACCCAGCCGCAGGCGTCCTTGGAGGGGGCTGCCCATGGCCCAGACATTCCCAGGCCACCCGGGCCCTGCAGAAACTCTGCTCCCCGGTCCCAGTGAAGGAAAACAAGTGCCTCTCGCCCCAGGGGGTGCAGCTGGGTGCACACTGTTGTTTCCTGTGGATGGTTCCAGCAGGCCCCAAGCCCCACAGGAAGCCCGGAGGCAACCGGTCCTGGCCCTGCCCAAGGCACAGCGGAAAACCCTGGGGCCCTCGAAGGTTATTGCATTGATCCAGTGTTCACGCTCCAGAGCGCGTGAGGAGCAGCCATCACCCGCACACACAGATCAGACACACGCACGCACGCACACACAGCAACTTCCCAGAGCGAAGAGGACAGCGCAGCATCTGCCTTTGCGCTGGCGAGGTCACGGGCTCCCTTCATAGTTCAGCACGTAATAATCATGGACATACATGAGCACAGCAATCGGCTGCCCGATAATCAGGGAGATCCAGACGGCCGCGTTGCCATAGTTGCCCTGCAGAAAGCGCCCGACAATCCAGGCCAGCGGGATCTGGGGGGGCAGGGCAGAGGTTAGCCCCCGGCCGAGTGGCAGCCACACAGCCCTCAGCCGGGGGGCCCGGCGGCCCACAAGGAAGGGGGAAGCCGAGCAGCCAGCTTCCCGGCTGGCCCTCGGCCGCCTCCGCCCATCTGGCGCCCATCACACCTGGCAGGCGGCTGCCACACTTTACCTGAGCCATCATCCCCATGAACGCCCAGAGCCGGAACATCTTCAGGGGCACGCTCACCAGGTACTGGGGGGCAGAGGGAGAAGCACACAGCTGTCGCTCCAGAAGGCAGAGCGAAGCGGGCCCCCAGCTTGGCAGCAGACCCTCCGCCGGCCCCAGCGCCTCGCCCCCTTCTCTCACGCGAGGAGGGGCATCCCCTGCCTCTGCTCCAAGGGGAGGGAGAGCGAGCAGGGGAGCCTGGGCCCGAGACAGCGCCACGAGTGCCACATGGGAGAGCAGGCACCAGCCCCCAACCCAGGGAAGGCTCCCAGGAGATGCAGCCTCATTCCCGAGTGAAACCTTGCCCAGGAGGGGAGGAAAACACGCAGCCGTCCAGGCCCGGAAAATGCTTCTCTGGGGCAGGCCCCGCGGCATCCCTGGGCGGCACCCACTGGCCCACACGTGCCCAGGGGCGCCTCTTCCTGCTCTGCCGACACGTTTCCGCCTTCCACGGCACCACTGCACTTCCGCTCAGCCGCCTGGCTCTCCCTCGCTGCCAGTATCCGGAGAACTGCCGCAGCCAGCCCAGTTCGCACACCCCAACCCCCCGGGGGCTGGTGCACATGCCGCGGCCCCCTGCACAGTGGCAGGGGAAGGGGGCTCGGTGCCCTGGGCGACGTGCCGCAGGCAGGAACCCAAGCACGGGTGGGGGCTCACCTCATGGAAGAAGGCGGAAGCCAAGAAGACTGCGGTCTGTGCGGTGCATTTCCCAACTCCCCTCTTGATCATGGGCTTGTAGAAATGCCTGCGTTGACGGGAAAGGAATGGATTGCTGGTTGGTGCCACCGCAGGGACAAGCCTTCCCAGCGAGGCAGGGGCGTTGGGCCCCGTCAGCCCACCGGCCAAATTCCAGGGGCCACATACCGGGGTGGGGCCAAAGCACCAGCTTGCTCCCACCACTAGTCACAAGCCCTTCGGACAGGCTGCCGAGTGGCTACCCGACGAGAGTGCCCCCCACAACCCGCGGAGCCCGGTCGGCCCTCGGACGCAAGGGAGCGGCAGCTTCCTCACGGAATCCATCCGGATTCCGCCGGTCTTCCCCTCGTTCTCCTGCCTGTGACGCTCCTGTCCGTTTCTCTTCCCAGCGTTCGCCCCCTTCTGTTGTGAGCGGGGGCAACACGCTGCGTGCTCGTGGCCGTGGTCCCCGGCGAAATGCCCCCGCACTCCACATTCTCTCCTCACTGCCCTTCCAAGCCTCAGTCGTCTCCTCACGTCTGGCCGCTGCCTCCCTTCGAACGGAGGGAGCCACGGCCAAGCCAGACCTCTCGCCATCTCCGCGTCTCCAGGGCTGGCTGTCCAGTGCAGCTCGGCAGCCCGGACTCCGGCCCCTGCCGGCTCTGCTGCAGCCCTGCGCTCGCATTCTCTCCCTTTCAGCCAGGGCGCCTTTCGGTTCACCGCTGCTTTCCATGAGTAACAGTTCCTTTCCATGAGTAACAGTTCCATCTGCACATCTGGAATTACCGATCAGTCTTCCACCAATTTCCACTCCGATTCTGATCCAGCTTTCCTTCCCGTATGTTCTGCTTCCGACTGCAGAGGAGGTGGAATCCCCCTTTGCCTAATGACTTTGCCCCTGGGAAGCCCTTCTGTTCCTCCATCCTCGGTCCCAAGAGAAGCTTCTCATCCGGGACGTGGGCTGTGCCTCAGGACGATGACGGGCGAGGCACCCCGGCTACTTCTCGCGCTCCACTCAGCCACGGGCTTTGCTGGGGTCCATAAAGCATGGACTGAGCATCCCTGAACTTTTCTGGTTGCTCCAACGGCCATTGTGCATTTGCGATAGGATCTCAAGCGCGTCTTCCTGTTCTGAATCCAGCTTGAACATAATCAGCTGAACATACTTCTCACTCCGTACAGGGCAACTTTTTGTCCGAAGCCTTTGGGCATCACTTTGCTTGCGTGAGAAATGCTCGACGGCATCCCAGATAGAAAGGGGAGGGGGAGCAAGTGGGGGGGTTTAAACCACGAGAGGCCGGGGTGGGGGGTGCCGGCAAGCAACACGTCAAGCAGCTCTTCACTGCAGCCCACGAGGCCCTTGCGCTGAGCTCGGAGGATGCCGATGGAGAAACCCCCTCCTGCTGCCGCGGGAGCGTCGCCACCCAGCCCCGCCACCAGCAAGACCCCCCGGCTGGCCAGGCCGTACCTCAGGCACCATTTGTGGACCGGGATGTTCCAGTTCTGCCAAAAATAGGTTACTGTCTCCGAGTTCCTGGAAGGAGGATGCAGAGGGAGGGAGCGTATGTCAACGCAGGAACGTTCTGCCCTGTGCCGAGCTCCTCTTCCCCCGCCAGGAAGGAAGGGCCTACCATCCCTCGTGGGCAGAGCCCAACTCCCCACAAGCCACGAGTGCTCGGGCTGCACCTCCTCTGCCCGAAGGCCTCGCAGGGAAGGGCAGCAGGAGCCCAACACCCGTCCCGGTGCTTTAGTTAACACGCCGCATCGCTACCTGCAGTGCCATACAAGTGCCGAGGCAGAGCCTCTACCTGAGCCCCGGTCTGGTGTCCCCTGCTGCGCACTGCAGGCCCCCCAACAGGAGGGGACAGCCCCTTCCCGTCCTGCCCAGTGCGCGGAAGCCTCTGCAATCCGCCCGTGCCGCTCTGAACTCCGGAGGGCGCAGTGTGGGGGCGGAGGAGGGGACTCACCACCAGTCCCTGTAGAACTCCCGGTCCCCAAACTGCATGACTTCCGCAATGACGTTCAGCGTCGAGTGGAAGAACCAGTAGAAGAAGATGAGCCAGATCAGGTGGTTGGGGACCTGGCAAGAGCCAGAAGCCGGTTAGCACGCCGGGCTTCCTGCCGGCAGAGGAGGCTCCGAGGGCACGCACCCCCCGCATGTGCCAGCTGACGCACGGGCTGCGCACGGGCGGCCTGCAACAGGGCAGCCTCTGAAGGGCCCTGTCCGCAGGCGGGTTCATCCCTTTGCAGCCTGAGCCAGCGCGGTGCCCTGGGCCAGAAGCCGGGGAGAAACAGGTGGCGCCCAACCCCGGCTTGGGGGAGCTTCCTCGGCGCCCCTCGCAAGCCCACATGCTGGTGGGCGTCTCGCCCCAGCACAGGGCCGGCGCAATTCCCGCCCTTCTGGAGGGAGCCTTCCCTCCCGCCATTCCACAGGCGTCACCCGGGTGCCAGAAGCGCCTGACCCACTCGCTGGACGTGCCCCACAAGCCCCCCGTCGGCCCAGCCTTTGCCCGGCAGCCCCACTTACGGCCAGCTTGAGGAGGCGCTCGATGATCCTGGAATAATCCATGTCCTGCGGAGAGAGGCCCCTCAGCACCGTCCCCGGCCAGCCAGGCGCGCATCTTCCCCAGGGGTTACGTGTCCCCCACCACCACTCCCCCCCCCCGACTGCTAGTGGGAAAGACGGAAGGGGCAGGGCCCACCGGCCATCCTGCCCCCTCTCCCACAAAGGCAACCCAGGGGGGCGACTCCGGGCACCGTACTCTGCGGTGTGGCCCACCCACGTGCCTGTGGGCCTCTCCAGCAGCAGGTGGAGGACGTGGGGTCTCCACACGCCCTACACCGTGGCAGGGGTGGACGAGCGGCCCAGCTCAGCCCTCCCTCAGAGGGGCCCCCACCCCAGCACGCCCCCCCTCGGGATCCCCCTCGGAGCGCCTGGCCCGGCCAGCGCGGCTTACCCGGAACGGCTTCATGGAGTTCTGGATTGTGGGAACCATCCACTGGAGGGAGAGCAGAGCACCTGGGTCAGCGGGACTGCAGGGAAACCCAGCGCCCCCAGGCAGCCTTCCCAGCCCGTGGCCACACAGGCGTGTTGGGTGACAACTTCCACAACCCCCAGCAAGAACAGGAAACTTATGAGCGTTGTAGTCCCACACACAAGGAGGTTTGGGGAACGTCTGGCAAGGCCCAGCAGGGCTGCGGGTTCCCCTTCTGCTTGCAGGAAGGTTCTCGTGCCCCTGGTCCCGCCCATACGCTCCACTGGGGGGCCCCGGCTGCAGGGACCCTCGCCAGCCAGATGCCAGGCTGACTCCCCCCACCGGTCACTTGGCGCCGCTCAGCCTGCAGCCTGCTTGCCCCACCAAGCCCGCTCCCCCTCCCAGGGCCGGCTTGCCTGCCCCACAGGCAGGAGGCAGCAGAGCCGTGCAGGTGGGGCCCTCGGAGGTTGGCCTGGGAGTTCTTCCCTGCCTACTTCCAGAGAGGGCCACCCTCCCAGGGCAGCTGATGCCCCAGGGACTGCCCTGCCGCGGGGAGCATCCTCCTGCCCTTATCCCAGGAGCAGCCCAGGGGGCGCCTGGGAGTCAGGCCATGGCTGCCAGGCAGGCCCACCTGGCCCAACTCACCTGCTGGATCAGCCCCACCAACAGCTGGATGAAGAAGAGCTGCAGGGAAGGAGAACGGCGGGCAGGTGGGTGCAGGGCCGGCTCACCTGCCCCCCAGGCCCTGCCCCACCCTGCGCCGCGAGGCTCGCACGCCGCACACGGGCCGGCCCTTCTGGAGCGTGCCAGCACGGCGTTCCGGCCCTCTCCGGCCCCGGGTGCAGTCTGTGGACACAGCGCTGGGCCGGGCGGACCGGCCGGCCTGGTCCAGCACAGCTTTTCCTACGGTCCGTCCGAGGGCCCTGCCTCCGGGCAGCAGGGGCCCGAGGCCCCTCCAGTGGGGATCAGGGTGGGGGGCACGCGGGTCTCTCACCATCTCAAAGAGCCTTCGCAGCAGGAAGCGCTTGCGGATCCGCGGGGAACGTGGGAAGTTCAGTTCGTAGCACAGGGTCGGCGCGAAGAGGAAGTAGTACAAGTCTGTGGGAGGGGAGGGCCTTCAGCCCCGGGCCGGAAACGGGCCGGGCCCCCTCCACAGGGTGCGGCGAGCATCCCGGGGGCCCGGTCCCCTTGAGGCCCGCGGCTCGGAGGGGCAGGCGCTGGAAGCCCCCCTCCGGCCTCCCTGCCGGCGGCACGTCCGGAGGGCCAGCCGGGGACTCGCTAGCCAGCTGCGCCGGGGTTTCCACCACCTGCGGGCAGGAAGCCTCGTGATGCCCCCCACCAGCCCAGGCCGGCTAGTCTACCTTTATAGGTCAGGTTGGCTGGGTACAGCACTCTGCTCGTGCTCACGTCCCCGTTGGCTTTCTGTGGCCGGGAAGCTGCAACAGAGGGGAGAATCAGGCCTCCAGTTCCCTCGCCCCACTCGGCTGCAGGACTCCCTCCTGGGGTGTTCGGGCAGCGGCAGGGGGAGCCGGCGCCTGAGGGGGTGGCTGGCGCTGGTTCCCAGGCCCCCTTTGCGTGTGCAGCTGCAGCGGCAGGGAGGGCAGGCTCGGCGGCTGAGCTTGTAGGAGCCTCGCCAGGCCGCTCGGCCACTGGGCTCGCTGGCGGGGCCGAGGGGAGGCGTCCGCCACAGCCGGACAGGGCCAGGTCGAGAAGGCCGGAGCCGCAGCGCCGAGGGCTCCAGGCGTGACCTCCTCCCCTTCCTCCCCAAAGGCTGCTCCCTCCCAGGCAGATGCCGAGCCGGTTGTGCTTGCCTCCTGCAGTGCAAGGGGCAGCCCCAGCCTTGCCTCCCCCCTCCAGCCTGGGACCCTTCCATCTCCGGCAGGCCAGGACCCCCCACCCCAGCTCTGGCATGCCGGCACCCAGCTGCCCCCCCGCCCCCCGTCCAGCGCTCACCCGCCTGGGCGTGGGCGGCCTTCGCCTGCCTCCCCTCGCGGCACCACCTGTTGACATCTTTGTAGGAGTAGAGCTTGAGGAAGAGGATGGTGTGGATGGAGAGGGAAAACACAGCGCCAACTGCAGCAGCAGACAAGCGGGGAGGGCGGAAGGTGAGCTCCCAGGCAGGGTGGGGCAGCCCCAGAGAGTCCACCCCTCCCTTTCAGCACCTCGAAGGGACACGGAGAGTCCAGCGCCCACGCAGGAGGCGTGCTTGCCAGGGGCCCCTCCCTGGTGCCTGGAGGGCCCCGGCCCGCGAGCAGAGTGCCTGCTTCACACGCGGACAGTCCAGGCACGCTCCTGGCAGTCCGAGACCCACGGGGGCGGCACACGCAGCGCTGGGATGGATGGGCCAAGAGCCAGCTCTGGATTAGGCCGCTCTGGAGACGGACTGCTGGCCTGCACTCACCGGGCGTGATGGAGTCCACGGCCAGCACCACGAGGGCGGGGAAGCACAGGATGGTCAGGAGGTTGAGCGTGTGCAGCACGGCCCCCCCACGCTCGGCCAGGGAGCCCTGCGGAGGGGGGGAGACGCGGGCGTGAGACGGCGGGGCTGCCTTCCCCTCGTGCCTCCCCGCAGCCCTCCGTCGCTCGGCGTCTCCGTGCTGCCGTCCTGCGGCTGGGAAGAGCCAGGAAAGGCCCCCAGAGCGGCCGGGCGTCTCTCGTCAGGAGCAAAGGCCGCGGGCAGCTCGGGCACCAACACGCCAGCAAACGGCCTCGGAGAAGCGCGTCCCCCGGGCCCACCCTGCTTACCGCTGCCAGCCTCTTCTCGATGTGCAGAGCTGCCAGAGCGAACACGTTGGCCACTGAGGACAAGACGGGGTGCCAGTTAGCGCTGGAGGTGGCGGGGCCCCGCGGCATCACGGCGGGGGGCAACCTGTTCTGCTGCGGCCAGCGCCTGGCACAAAGCTGGACCAGGACCCCCGAGCCCAGCACCCACGCCGCCTCCACTCGGGCTCCCCTGCCCTGAGCGACGCTGGATCAAGGTGGCCCCAGGGCTTCCTCACTCGGGGGCAAGAGCAGCTTCAGGAGGCCGAGGGCCGGGGGTCAAGCGAGGGGACGGCTCAAAGGAAGGTCTCAAGGCCACCTCTGGGGGGAAGGAGGAAAGGGCCCCCGGATGCTGGACTCACCGATAACAAGGCACAGGGATGGCCAGCTATAGGGGTCCTTCAAGAACAAGGAGATGACCTGGATGGGATCCACCAAGATGCCGTACCTGGAAGGGCAGGAAGGAGCAGCTGGTCTGGGAGGCTGTGCCGGGCCAGGCGCCCTCTCCTCCCAGCCGCGCAGACGGCCCAGGGCCAGGGCAGCAGCAGCCCCCGCAACTCTGCGCACCCAGCACACGCCGAGCGAGCCAGGCAGCTCTGCCAGATGCCGAAGAGCCGCACGGGGGACCCCCCCCACAGCCCTCCCGCTCCCTGTTCCACGTTCGGGGGCACAACTGCCGCAGGAGAGCAGGCGGAGCGTCTGGCCGATCCGAGCGTGACGGTGGGTGCACGGCAGCGCTTCCTGCAGCCGCTGAGTGGGCTGGACGGGGGAAGCCGGGGGCCAGAGCGGAGGCGCCCTGCAGCCGCGGCGCGCCTGGCCACCGCCCGGGCCGCTCCTCCTTCCCAGGCTGGCCAGCGAGGTCCGGAGTCTGCGGGGGGCCTCCAGCCGGGCTCCCCAGGCGCTGGCCCACTTCCTCCCTGCCCTAAGCCCATCCTGCGGCAACATGCATTCGGGCACTCGCAGGAAGCGAGTCCAAGCTCCCGCACACGTGAACTGTGCGCACTGGGAGGGCGCTGTCCGCGTTCTGGGCACAAAGCACGGCCCGTCTGCTGCCCCTTGCACAACGGAACTGCCCGCATCCCCGAGCACTGACGGACGTGGGCCTGGCTCGGCGCGGGCCGGTGTCCCCCAGCGGCACTTCTCGCAGGGCCGAGCGCTTCCATGCAGGAACGGAGAGGAGGCCGGCTGTGTTCGGTTGCTCTCCGCCCGCCAGGCCCTGCTCAGCCGGCGGCCATGCAACTGAGCCCCCACCCCGTCTCTCCCTGTGGGGCGTGCAGGGAGCTGTCCCGAGCCCCGAGAAGCAGAGCGCCAGTAGAACAAGCGGCCCCTCACACCACACGGGGGCAGCACCTCCTCGAGAGCGCAGGAGCCAGGGCGGCACAGCGACCTGCAGGCAGCCCCCAGCCCCCCACCCCCCGGCAGGGGCTTTGGGACGTTCCGAAGAGGCGCTGCAATCAAGCCTTACTCAGCCCTCCAGGGGGGCCGGGCACCACATCGCCTCGGCAGCACGAGGGCAGGCAGGTGCCCCCGCCTGGGTCCTGCGAGGCCAGCCGGGCGCATGGGCATCCCAACAGACACCCCTGAGACCCGCTGGCCGGCTGCGGAGCCGCTCCGGGCCTGCATGGCGGGCGAAGGCCCAGTGGGCAGCAGCGGCAGGCTGGCCGGCAGCCAGCGCACCCACGTCGAGCCCCAGCCGGCCAAACCAAGTGCCTCGGCTGGGCCCGGCTGCCTGCCGGGTCGGCTGGCGGAAGCGCAGCACTTACTTGATGAGGTTCTCGAGGAAGAGGCGGGCGTTGCTCAGGACCTGGGGGGAGAGGGGCCGGGTTAGCAGCAGCAGGCGGAGAGCTTGGGCGCTTTCCGGCCATCACCCCCCCAGCTGCCCCGCGTGGGCCGGCAAGTGCCTGCATGAAGCGGCAACAGAAACCCGCGGGCACCGAAGGAGAGGGTCCCAAGGCTGATGCAGCCCGGGCAACCAGACGGCTTCCAGCAGCAGCTGGGGGCCGTTTTTGCCAACGATGATGACCTGACGAAGCAGGGGGTGAAGCTGGGCCCAGGGGAGCGGGCCGCCCAGCCCCATCCGCAGGAAGGGCCTCCCACGCTGGGAGTGGGCCGTATCCAGATGCACACGGGTTCTGAAAAGCCCAACCCCAGCGGCACCCCGGAGCTGCACGGCCCGGCCACCCGCAGGCCCCGCTCGGTGCCCTCAGCCCCAGAGGGCTTCCCCGCAGGGGGAATCAGAGCCCGGCAGCCTGGGCACCCAGGCGGGGTACCAAGGAGCGCCCCCTCTCCGCAGGGCCGGGTGGGGGCGACGTTCTCGCTCACGGGTGCCCCGCGGCGGTGCAGAGGAGGGCCGGAGGAGCAAGAGGCAACTCGCCAGGGCGTGCCGCCCTCCCCAGCACCGGGTCGCAGTCGAGGGCGGCGCAAGGACCACAGGAGCAGAGAGGGCACCCGAGGCTGGCGTGTGCCAGTGCTGCCGTCTGCCCCCCCCCCCGCCTGCCCTGCCAGGGCAGAGGCGGCGGCACCGGCCCGACAGCAGCTCCGGGAGCCCCCGGCCAGCCCCTGCCCCGACGTGCTCACCGGCCCAGCAGGATGCGCCCTTCTGGGGGAGCCTTTCCTGGCCAGAGGCCGCCCTGGACTGTCCCCCCTCCGTGGGGGACCCTGGCAGGGCAGCCGCCGTGTGAGCTCGGACAGCACCTGCAGCACCGCGCCTGCCGCACGAGGGGTGGAGGTGGCTGAGTGCCAGCGGCCGCTCGGGGCCGGGAGCGAGGAATGCAGTTCTGCTGGCTCCTGGGAAAGTCAAGCAGCTGCCAGCCCGGCGGGGGAGCCCGGCCCAGGCTGCGCACAAAAGGGCCAGGAGCGGAAGGACTGGTTCTGGCCAGCCCACGTGGCCACGATCCCCTCTGCCCCAGCACCATGTTCTGCTGGGGCAATTGCGCGTTGCTGCCCGGAAGACAGAGCGCCTGAAGGGCGGTGCAGGGCCCCCAGATAATGTTCCCCCACCCCCCCCCTCTCGGTGGCCCAGACCCCCCCCCCCCGCAGCATTCCCAGCGCAGGCAAGTGGATGCAACTGGGCTTGCACTGGGAAGGACGGGAAGGCACATGGGGCCAAGCGTCACCTGCCCTTCCGACGGATGCAGGCAGGCGTCCGGCTCCGAGGTCAGCGCTGCCCCCCGACAGCCTCCACTCCCCCCTCCCGCTGTGCCTGCCTGCGTCTCATGGGCCCAGCACCCCGCCGGGAAGCCTTCCGGAGAGGAAGGGGCCCTCGGAGATGCCGACCAGCCTCCCCGGGGTTTGCTCCAGAAGCACCCTCTTCTCCACACGGCTCCAGGTGCCCCCAGCCAGGGCCTCCCCCAGCACAGCTAGAGGCGGAACTGCACCCCCATGGGCGGCTTCCTCCCAGGAAGGCCTCTGACCGGTGTCCTCTCAGCAGCCCCTGCAGGGCTCGTCCCTTTTGTCCAGGACGGAGCAGGCACCACTCGGGGAGGAGCAGGCGGGCCTCCCTCTCCATGCCCCTCTTCTGCTCTGGGCACCGCGGCCTGAGGAGCCTGGCAGGGCCCCAGAGCCAGAGCTGGGGGGGGCCCTTCAGAAACGAGCTTGTCCATCAACACTCCACCTGGCTTGCTGCTGGAGGGAGTCAGCTGTGCTGCCACAAAGGGGCTTAGCCCAGCCCCCCCGGGGGGGATCCCGCCATGCCAGGGCCGCCCGCCAGTTCAGCTTCCCACGATTTTAGCTCCCCGCCCCGGATGAGAGCACTGGAGACTCCATTCTGCAGCCTGGATGCCACCGAAGCCTTTGCTGCAGCAGGAGGCAGCCTCAACACCCCCCCCACCCAGCCAATACGCCCCCCCGCTCCCTGCTGCCAGTGCACCCCAATGCACAAGGCTGTGGCGCTCGGGGCCCCCCGCGGCGCGCCCCGGAGCACCCGGGGAGCCAGGAGTGTGGCTGGGGCTGCACCCTGCACCCGACCCTTCCCCGGGCGTCTGCCAGGAGAACGGGAGCCGCGCCACCCCGCAAAGCCAAGCTGGGGCCGTAGCTCCGCCCCACACAACCTGGGGCCCACACCGCCAGACACTCCAGCATCCAGCCCCGAAAGGACCGAGCCGGCCGGAGCAGTGGCTCTGCAATACGGCCCCTCCCAAGGGCCCCGGGCTCCCCCCCCCCCAAGCGCCCTGCCCCGCTCAACTCGCGTCCCGGGAGTGTGCGCACAGCGCAAGGCCCGCGGTGGCGCCCAGGTCAGGCTAGCCGGAGCCACCTGGGTGAGCGGCCAGCGCGGCTCCGCTGCTACAGGGGCCTCAGAGGCCGCGCAGCCTGGAGCCTCATGCTCGAGTTGGCCAGGCGGGGCTCCTGGGAACTCAAGGTCAGCTCTGCCGAGCCAGCCCCACGGCGGCCCCGCACCACCCAAAGCGCGCCGGATGGACGGCCCTGAGCAGACGGGGCAGCGGGAGACCCTGCAGCCAGCGCCGACACAGCAAGCCCCCGGAGCCCCTCGTGGCCCGTGCCCCCCCGCCTTTTCTCCCACCAGCCCAGGCTGAGGCGGGGCTGGCGGGGCCGAGGCGCTGCCACGAGGAGCCCCAGGGCCTGTGTCCGACCCCCCCGCCAATGCCCACACCTGGCCTGAGAGGCAGCGGGACGGAAGCGGGGCAGCCATGCCCCCGAAGAGGATGCTGCCCAAGGGGAAGAAGGCAGGGGCTCCAGGAGGCGGCCCTTGGGGGAGGCTGCTCTGCCCCGTGCGTCTTCCAGTATGGGGTTCCCAGGCGGGGGGGGCCCTCCTTGAGCCGCTGGTGGCCCAGCCACGCCCCCACCTGGGCAGAGACAGCCTCTCGGTGATCTGCGCTCCAGTAATCCCCAAGCTGGATTACTGCGATGCTCTCCAGGCGGGGCTGCCCTTGAAGACCGTTCAGAAGCTGCACTGTGGAAAGGCGGCAGCCGGCTAAGGGGAATCCGACGCTCGATCACGTAACGCCAATCCGGGCCCGCGGGCACTGGCTGCACACAGGCTTCCAAGCACAGTGCAAGGGACTGGTTTTAGCCCGGAAGGACCTGCATGGCTTGGGCCACAATATCTGAGGGAGCGCCCCTCCCACCTGCCGTCCACCCAGACTCTGTAATCAGGATGCAGGGTCTGGCTCCCGTTGCCGCCTCCAAGGGGGGCCCGGTTGTTGGCAAACAAGGAGGGGGGCCTTTTCCGTGGTGGCCTCCGGGTATGGGACTAGCTCCCCCCTGAAGCCCGCCTGGCGCCCACTTTGCTGTCTTTTTGGGGCCAGGCAAGGACTGTGCGCTACCGCAGGGCATTCAAGTCGTCTACAAGGGTCCGCTAGGTTTTTTAATTTTTTTCCTGGTTATTATATTTTCCCCTAGTTATTATATTTATAAATCTGTTTAAACTTTGCTTTTAAATTTTGTTTTGTAAATTTTTGTGCTGCTTTAAAGATGTTAAATGCAGTATTTTGTACTGGATCTTTAACACAAGCGCTGTGAACTGCCCACAGTGTTTCAGCTGTTGGGCGGTGCAGAGAATGAATAAATGAACAGACGTTCCAGGCCCTTGCTTCCAACTCCGCAACATGCCAAAGAGCCAACCGAGGCAGGACTAGGACTGGGCGAGGGCGTTTGGCAAGAGCTGCCTCACGAGGGAGGCGGACCCCCACTCCAAGCTAGACCGGGGGTCCCGCAAAGGGTGCGAAACGCTCCCCAAGAGGGTCAGAAAGCCACTGGGCGCCTCAGCCCCCTGGGCAGCGACATCACCTGCCCGGCTCCGGCCACCCCAGCCCTGCCATGGGGCCCCAAATGGCCACTTCTGTGCAACCAGGCCAAATATTGACGGCCAGTCGGTAGCTTGCTTTGTGGCAGGATCTGGCCGGGGGCCCCTCCAGCCCTCGCAACAGCACGCAGCAGCAGCCCCGGCAGAAGGCGCTGGGCCGGCACCCCCCCACACGGGCCCAAGGGCTGGGCCACCTGGCTGCCCTCGCCGCTCCATGCCGAGCCGCAGCGGAAGCAGCCGCAGCCTCCGCCCCTCTGCACCGCGCCTGCCGGCTCCTGGCCCTTCCGCTGGCGGGAACGGAGAGCGGGGCTCCTGCTACTCACCAGCATCACCACGCACCAGTTCAGGATGCCCCGGTAGTTGCTGTAGCCGCTCGCGGAGCTCAGAAGGGAGTCCTGGAGCCGGTGGCACCTGCGTGGGAGCGAGGAGCGAGGGGTTAGAACGGCCAGGCGAGCAGAGCCTCGGTCGACAACACGGTGAGCGCCGACTACCAGTCTTGCCTCGGAGCGTCCCAGAGGGGCTTGAAGGAGCAGGATCCCGGACCCCCTGGGGAGCAGGAGCCTCCCAGAGCCCGGTGGGGAGGAGCACCCCGTGGAGGGCTGCCGTGTGGGGGAGGCACTTCCTTCCTTCCGGACGTCTCTCCCCCTCCAGAGCTTGGCTTGATCCGCCTCCCTGTAACCTGGGCGCTGACTTTCAGATCCGGGGTCCCCCAGGGCCCGGGCCTCCGGGCACAAGCGGCGTTGTTCTGCCCATGAGCGCTCTGCTCCCGGCTAGCTTTCCGGAGGTGGCTCCCAGGCGGCAGAATCCGGGCCAGGCCTCCGGCGGACGGAGCCTCCCGCGAGCACATGGACAAGATCATGTGGGCAGCCGCAGGCAGGGAGCTCGGCTGGGCTGCCGGGCATCAAGCCGGCCCTCCCCACACACGGAGGCCGCCTGATCCCGGGTGACACGCGCGCACAACCCCCCGCGTGCCAGAACATGAGGCTGCAGTGACGGCACGGGAGTCCGGGGCGAGCACGAGGCCTGCCTCCTGCAGGGCAAGGGCGCCATGGCGGCCCCCAGCCCTGTGGGAAGGACAGCGAGAACCTGACCCGGGAGACCCGGCTCCGCACCAAGAACTAGGAAAGGTTGGCAGCAGCTGATCCTTCCCTCCCCATCCGGGAGGCATCTGTACGAGGGACGTGCCCACAAGCTCCCCTGTGGCAGAGCTCCGGTGGGCCGAGCCCTCGCCCTTCCGCCACCCGCGGCTCGGAGCCGCATCCTGCAGTGCTCTGCAGCCTTCCTGGCCCACTGCAGGGCAGCCTGGGGTAAAGCACAAGCCCCACTGAGATCTCTGCCACGCCACCAGCTGCTCTCCTGGCCTTCACCTCGGTCCAGGAATGGGCAGAAATGGCCACGTCCCGGTGCCGCAGCTGAGCTCCTCCAGAGAAGCTCCGGCACACGCGCGGCGCCCTGAAGCCAGGAGGCTGGGCAGGAGACGGGGCGCAGGGCCACCCACCCAAGGTCCAAACAGCACAGCAAGCAGCCATCCTGATGTGGTTTTGGGATGAACTTTTTCTTATGCTTTTAATGTTGTGGTTCTATTTCCTATTTGATGTGCTGCCATAACCTGCCCAGAGCCTCCAGCTACCAGATGGAACAGAAATTAAACAATCCACCCACTCACCCCCTATACTCGCAAGCACCACCACTGCCCCCCCCCCCCCCCCCCCCCCCCCAAAGCACCCCCCCCCCCCCCCCCCCGGCCCATTCTGCAGAAAAGCAGCACTTCCGCCCATCTGGCCCACGATTCAGTGAGGACCCCAAGTCCCCATCACCTCTGGAGTCCATGCAATTCGGCCCCGCTGTTCTTCTCAGTGGGTGAGCGCCCCCAGTTCTTCATGAGGGCTTTACGGTGGAACCGGGTCCTGCCCAGCTGCCTCCTGACGGGGGCCGGGCATGGCTGAGGCCTTCAGCGGCAGGCCAGCCCCAGACTTTCCAAAGGGAGTTCCACTCGGGTTCAGCCACCCTCTAAGGAGGCCTAGAGAGCAGCAGCTGGGGGGGGGGCTATTCCCCCTTTCCGCTTCTCCCCTAAGCACAGCTCTGGGACGCCTCTGTGTGCTCGAGATACGCGAGTGCCTCCCGCCACCCTCCCCGCAGGTCGCTCTCTAATCTCAGGAATTAAGTGGCAAGTAGGCAAGTGAGCACCGTCCCGCATTAATCGCGGCCCTTAAAACCGCCCGGCTAATCCTCTTATCGCAGCCTCTGGGCCGACCTGGGAGCCACTCAGCTGCGGGGCGACCAGCGTGCGCCACGGCCCCCTGGCAAGCGCGAGCCCGGATGCCGCTCCCGCTGTCCGGGACGCCCGTCCAGGCCCGGCCCGAGTCCAGGCCCGCCTGGCCACACCAGGCCCGCCCTCAGCCGGAGCCGGAGTCCCTGCGCTGGAGAGCGGCCGCCGCCTGTGCCCGCCACGCACGTTCACGCAAGAAGCACGCCCTGCGCCGCTGCGGCTCCTGCCTCCGCTCTCGCCGCTCACGAGCCGGCAGGAAGCCCTTGGCTTCAGAGCAGGATCAGAGGCCGCCGCGGCCTCCCCACCTCTCGCCCTGCTTGCCTTCGTGAGACGCGCTGCTGGGGCGGGCGGGAGAGCAGCACCAGCTGTGCCAGAACAAGGCGACCGCGGGGCTGGCAGCCGCGAGACGTGAGCGATGCTGCCGGAGCCCAGCGAGGAAGCACCCCCGCCCGCCCGCCCGCCTGCCCGCCCACACAGGCTTCGGCACGGGAGGGGACCACATGGCCCTCCCTGGGCCCAGAGAGGCCCTGCGGCGCCCCGAACTGCCTTGCCAGCCTTTTCTCCGCATCCGGTCAGCCGTGCAGAGATTCCGGCGCACCGAGCGGCAGGCGAGAAGAGCACAGTGCCTCTTCGGGCTGGACGCGGCTCTCCGAGCTCGCCGGCAGGGAACGCTCTTCCGCGGCTGCCCAGCCACCCGGGGGCCGCTCCTTGAGACGGAGAGCAGCGCCGGAGCACGAGCAGCACGCTATCCCCCACACCGCCAGGTGCCGAGGGGGTGGCCTGGGACAGCGTCCGCGAGGGCCGGTCCTGAACTGCCTGCCTGAATACTGCCCGAGCAGGAAGACCACGGGGCCAAGGGAGGACAAAGCTGCGCTCCTACAGGTGAACCACCTGAGGACTGCACAAGAGCGAGGCAGGGCAGAGAGCAGGCGAGAGAAAGAGCCTTCCAGCAGGGGCCTGGCCGCGGGAATTTGCGCTCCGGGAGGCTCCCCGATTCCTTTGAGGCTCCAGCTTGAATGCGTCCCCAGCCCGTTGGATTCAGCAATCAGGGAGCTGCTCGTTTTATGGACCAGAAGCCTTTGCTCTTGCTGGTTTTCGCGACTGCCCCATTTTCCCATTCAACCCCCCCCCGCCAAGATGATGTGGGGGGGGGGACTGAAGCACCTCTGCATCTCCCTTCTCTCACAGGACACCCCACTCAGCAGAGGCAGATTGTCACTCCGAACACACCTTCAGGACCACAGGAGCTTCCCCGGAAGAATGTCACCATCCCCATGGGAAAACGGTGGCGGGCGGTTGCCACGTGCGCTGCCACGCAGAGGATGCTCGGAGAGCAGAAGGCCAGGTGGTCGGTGGATGACTGGCTCGCTTCTCTCCCAGGTGCGCACACCTGTTTTGCCGGCCCAAAAGCACTTACAGTGGTGCCCCGGGAGCACCGCTCCTGCCCAAGCCGTCCTTTCTCAGCAGGGCCTTCGTGGGGCTGCCTGCCTACGCGGCACAGGGGAGCATGTGTGGCAGGAGGGGCTGAGCCGAGATGCACCCCAGCAGGAACCCGGGGTGGCCCCGGAAGCCTGTCACGCCTTGCGCGGCTGTATGAAGAGCCCCCTGGCCTCCCCGGCCACGGAGTGGGGCCGCTGGGCTCTCTGCGCAGCTGCGGCTCCTCCGCCAGTCAGACTCACACACCCCCAGCCAGCCGGCAACTTGGGCAGCCCCGAACACTTGGGGGGAGCCACCCCGCACGTCTTCCAAAGAATGAAGCGCCCCATGGCGGCCTCACATGTGGACTCTCCGGGACCTTGATGATGCCGGAGCACAGGACACGGAAGAATCAGCTCCAGCTGCGAAGACCCCGATTCAGGCCGGACATCAGGAAGAGCTTCCTTGCTGTCAGAGCAACACGGCAGGGGAACCGGCTGCCTGGAGAGGTGGGGGGCTCTCCCACACTGGGGACATTCAGGGAGAGGCTGGGCAGCCCTCTGAGTGGGGTGGTGTGACTTGGTGTCCTGCAACAGCAGGGGGGTGGACTGGAGGGCCTTCAGGGTCCCTTCCACCTCTGCTCTTCTCTGATTCTACGAAGCAGGATGGTCCATGGAAAGGCCTCTGTGCCACTGTCTGCTGCTCCGAGTCAACCAGCCTTCCCAAGCCGGTGTCCCCCAGGTGGGCTGGGCAGCAACTCCCACACAGACCCGGAGCTGCTGCCCAGCCCACACGGCCTTCGTGTGGGGCAGCTCCCACGACGGTGTTGGCAAGGGGGACAGTCCCGGCCCCAGTCTGCCAGACCAGGAAACGGCCCCGCTGCTTCTGCGAAGGGACGCCGCGGCCCCCTCCTCGCCAGCCTGCTGTGCAGAGGAGGTGGGCACGGCCAGGCAAGGCAGGCACACGGCCCGAGGCACAAGGGGGCTCCGCCACACGGGACCCTCCCTTCTGCAGCTCCGCCTCTAAGGCCTTCCTGCCCCTGCCCTCCAGCACGGGACCCCAGCGACTCTCACAGGAGGAGGCCGCAAGCCGCACCTGTGAGGGAGGCGCCAGCTGTGCAAAGCACTGCTGCGGAGTGCACAGGAGCCCGTGGCCAGCCCTCCCCGGCAGTTGCGCTGACTCCCAGCTTGTGAAGAGGCCACGTCTTCATCAGCCCCCACCTCCCGCCTCGAGCGCACAGAGAGAGGCCGGGCAGACCACGGCGGCACCCTCCACACGCCGATCCAGGCGGGGTCTGGGCAGGAGACAGCTGCTCGGCCCATCTCGGTTCAGCCAGGTGCGCCCAGGCGGCACCTCGCCACAGAAGCAACCTGTCCCGCCTGGCGGTGAGCGGCACGTCCTCCGCAGGCCAGAGCCAGGGCCCTCCGCCCACTCCAGGCCCTTAACTGTGCACAGAGGGCAGGCCCTGCCCCGCGGCTTGGCTCAGGGGGAAGGCCAGCGCGGAGCTTCCCAGCCAGGAAGGCTTCCGACTCGCACGCAGGGGGTGGGGCGAGGCAAAGAGCAAGACGAGCAACTGCCTTCTGGAAGGGCGAGATTGCTTGTCCCAGGGCAGTGGCCCAGCCCCTCGCTCGGTTTTCAAGGCCCCGGGCAGGAAGGCAGACGCGTTCGTGGAGAGGAAAAAGCCCCCACCACAAGAGGAGCCAGACGACACATAGTCTCTCGCAGGCCAGAGTCTTTCGGCACAAGCGGAGGCCAAACCCAAGTCCTGTGATCTGGATGAGGTACACTAGGCCAAAATGCAAGCATTCCGGCCCTGTGTTCGTTTACTTCCAAGATCCAAGGCTCAGAAAGTGTTTTGCAGAACAGGTGTCAGAGTACCCCTTCCCCAGTCTGGTGCTTTCCAGATGTTTTGGACTACAGCTCCCAGATTCCTCCTGCCAGCACAGCCAGCAGCTAGGATACCTGCTGGCACGAACCACCTTTCCACAGTGTGGGCAACAGCCTCCCAGGCACATGCTCAGAGTTCATGAGGGCTGGTGCACGCACATCAGACCCAAACTGCAGCGATCACAACGGCCAAACTGTGCCGGGCAGGAACGCAGCACTTCAGCAGGCCCAACGTGCCCCCTCACCACCACATCGGGGGTGCTCGGGGCGGGTGGGGAGACCAAGAGCCTTTAAGAGCACTCCCACGAGGATTCTGGAAGAGAACCTCGAGGTGCGCCAACCCACGTGTCAGGGACATCCGGGGAGCGGGCCCCCCCCAGCTCGCAGGCGAGGGGGAGCAAGGCGCCAAACAGAACCGGGCTTCGCGCGCCGGGATCCCCAAGGCTGGGCCGCGGCTCTCCGGGCAAGGGGCTGCCTGCCCGCAGCCCTTTCCTTCCACGGCGCGCTCCCTCCCCGAAAAGGCCGGGCAGCGAGCAAGCAGCGCAGCACGCCGCCCGGGCAGTCCGCTCCGCTCCGGCGCCGCCCTGCGTGTCCCTCCCGCGGGGCCGCCTGGCTTCTTCCCGGGGCCCGTGCAGGCTGCCTGCGCAACGGGGCTGCGCAAGAGGAAGCGGGACCCCAGGGGGCGGCCGCCGCGCTCCACGCTGCCGCCTCCCTCGGCTGCCCAGGGACGCCCGCAGGAGGCCCTTTGCCCCGGCCAGCGGGCGCAGCAGGAAGGCAGCGCGGGAGGGAGACCGCGCCGGGAGCAAGGGGCGGCGTGAGTCACGCACGGCGCGGCACTCCCTCCGGCGAGCGGAGCGGAGCGGAGCGGGGCGGGGAGGCGGCCAAGAGCGGGGTCGGAAGCCGGACCCACTCGGCGGCGGGCGGCGCCTGCCCGGCCTCCGGCCGCCCCTTCGTCGTCGGCTCCGCTCCGCGGACGAAGGGCGAGGGCTCGGCTGCCTTCCCCGCGCGAGGGCGGCGGAAGGACGCGGCAACCGCAGGAGGGGGAAGCGAAGTCCGGCAACGGGCGGCGGCGGGCGAGGCGCCCCAACCGGGCTGCGCGCCGCAGCGGTGCCGGCGCGACGGAGCGCGCAGCAAGGCGCACGCTGCCCCTCCGCTCCCTCCGGCGGGACGGAGCGCTGCCCCGAGGAAGCCGCAGCCGCGGAGCCGGCCGCAGCCCCAGGACGCCCCCGGAGGCCCCTCACCCCGCCCGCCACGCGCCCAGGACCGCGCCCCCGCAGGACTACCTGAAGTCGGCAGGCGCGGCGTCGGGCGGGAGCGCGCCATCGCCGGCGCCCCCCCGGGCCG